CCCTGTTACACACACACACACACACATAGCACCCTGTTACACACACAGCACCCTGTTACACACACACACGCACGCACACACACAGCACCCTGTTACACACACACACACGCACACACATACATAGCACCCTGGTACACACACACACACACATCCAGAATATTTCTTGTGCGTTGCAACATTTACTATCTTATGATTTTATAGAGATCAGCGTTCATCAATATGGCCGTTTATTAAAACTCAGTAGTCTGTCTGATGGTGTCCTCTACTGAACTGTGTGTGTGTGTGTGTGTGTGTGTGTGTGTGTGTGTGTGTGTGTGTCAGACTGGTCCACCAGAGTGAAGCAGATCGCTAAGCTGTGGAGGAAGGCCAGCTCTCAGGACCGAGCTCCCTTCGTGGTGAGTTTATTATTATTTACAGATCATTGATGTCAGAAAGTGAAACATTGAATTCAATATTCTTTGTCACATATTTGGTCGTTGGTGACGTCCAAACTGGGCGAGTTTGTGAACTGCCTCCTATATTCTGAAAATTCATTAATATTTGTTAGTTGATCTGGACTGAAGTTGGTTAAAAAGATTTAACTTGGTGAAAGTGGATCAGATGAACCTTTTTAAAGTGAAGCTCTGATTTATAGACCAGAGGAATAAAGCAGCATCATGTTTCTAACGTCATCACGTCTGCATGACCTCTTGTTTCCTCTCTTTACCAGCAAAAAGCTCGAGATAACCGGGCGGCTCAGCGCATCAACAAGGTGCAGCTGTCTAACGACCAGCTCAAACGCCACCAGTCCTCCCAGCAGCTCCAGTCCTCCCAGCAGCTCCAGTCCTCCCAGCAGCTCCAGTCCTCCCAGCAGCACCAGTCCTCCCAGCAGCTCCAGTCCTCCCAGCAGCTCCAGTCCTCCCAGCAGCCTCTACCGCTGCTGGGACCTTATGACCCTGTTTCCTTGGAGCTGGAGGGGGCGTTTAAGGACCCCCTGAGGCCCAAAGAGTCCGAACAGGAGCAGGAGTGGAAGTTCAGACAGGTGAGCAGAGTTTCAGTGTGTTTGTTCTTCACACCTCATCACTCATGAACTAGAACCAGCGAGAGAAACCAACACCAGACTGGTGGCTCACATGTCTTTATATTTTACCACACTTTATAATATACAACTTTCATGAACACTGTTGACTTTAGTTCCTTAAATTACTTCAGATGTGGTCCAATCACGGCATCGGGGGGTGTTGGTTTCCCTCTCTGAGTAGTAACCATGGTAACCACCAGGCTGCATGTCAGAGTCATGTGATTTTGACTGTCATTGTATCATTGATGAAGATGATGTGCATGACTCACTCACTGACTCCCACTAATATCTGTGATGTAATTGTCATTGAAAAGGGAGAGGTAAAAGACAGATGGGGAGCCGGTAAGAAGAGGCAGGAAAATCTCCCCCAAAGCAAAGCCCTAAAATCACCAACAGATAAAGGTTGTCCCTACCAGGCATCTGTAGCAGGAGGTGGCAAAGAGGCTCTGGTAAGATCTCAAGAACTTGTTCAGGCAGACTTCCTGGATCCATAACCCTCTGAAATCCTCTTTGTGTCCCGGAGCGCTGCTTCTGCTGGTCCACACAGTTTCCACTGGTTCACCTGGAGGTCAACAGCTGGTTAGCAGCTGCTCAATGGTCAGTTAACAGCTGGTTAGCAGCTGGTCAATGGTCAGTTAACAGCTGGTTAGCAGCCGGTTATCGGTCAGTTAACAGCTGGTTAGCAGCCGGTTATCGGTCAGTTAACAGCTGGTTAGCAGCCAGTTATCGGTCAGTTAATAGCCAGTTAGCAGCCGGTTATCGGTCAGTCAACAGCTGGTTATCAGGACAATTCATTAATTTGTTGATCGACAAAGAATCAAACTAATTTGATTATTGATTGATAATTAAGTTATAATTAAGTAAACAAACCGTTTTATTTTTCTTAACGGTCGAGTAAACAGAATATCTTTAGGACTGTTTTGTGTTTTTCTGATGTTTGTTTGAGAAAATAATCTGAGGATTAATTGCTAATGTGTCAATATGTTCCAGCCTGTGTGAGATGTTAGTTTATGGGCAGTAGAACAGCATACTGTTGTTAGCGACTGTGGCTAAGTGGAGAGCAGGGCCGTCCTTCAATCAGAGGGTCGGTGGTTCGATCTCCGGCTCTGCTAGTTGCATGTCTGTGTCCTTGAGCAAGACACTTAACCCCAAAAATGTCTCCTGTAGCTGTGCCTACGGTGTAGAGATGTGATAGAATCTGAATTGTAAATCGCTTTGGATAAAAGCGTCTGCTAAATGACTGTAATGTAATGTTATTTTCAGTCGTTATGAAGTCAGAGCTGCTGTATTTTCCTCATCATTGACCTCAAGGACAGAAACACTGGAAACTATAAATGTCTCAGACCGAAGCGACGAACTCTCCCAAAGCAAACAGGATTTCAGACACATGGACCCAGGACAGGTCACGGTTCTCTTCTGTGGGCCACTTTACATTTCAGGGTTTTGGGAACACAGCACTCATTTCAGTCTGAGGACAGTTGAAGTAAAGTTGACCCAGAGTTGTTATCCGTGGCCTCAGTCCGTCTCAGAACTGACTGATTTTATTCTAAAGGGATGCTTCCTCTGAATGTTGTTCTGCTGCCGTCCTTCAACGTCCACCGCACACCGATGAAGACATGTGGATTCAAACTGTCAGTTGTGGGAGCAGCACAGATTCTCTTCTGCTTCTTCTGAGGCTTTTCTCATCATACAGATTAAAGTGGAGAGAGATGGTGCAGTTTGATTTAACACAAACCAGGCAAACTACCATTAAGACACATTCACGAGTAGCTCCATCAGAGTTAGTAATGAGCAGTATGAAATGTGATGAACGTAGTAGTCAGTAGAGGGGGGGGAGGGGAAAGGGTGTGACAAAGAAATCTGAAGCTGTAAACATGGACGACAGTGGCCGGAGACCATGTGACAGGAAGTGCAGGACTGAGGTCTGTGTGCTGAAGGACGACAGTAGCTTGACGTTCACAGTGAGCAGGTATGATTAACCAGGTGAGAGACAGACAGCAGGGAGGACAAGTGATCAGG